AAAATGTAATCTAAAAGTTGTCTAGAGTTCAAATCAATTCCATGTAATCATAATGAGACTGACCATTGTATTCACATTCTGTGTATTGAGGAGTAACAATGATCTCTAATATTCTATTATAAATGTTATAATAACATGAATGAGAATTAGATTATTCAGAATGTCCAAATAATAATACAATACATCCTACGTTTGTTTCTTTACGTAAATTAGTTTCCCTTTTTATCTCCATCCCTTTGGAAAAATAAGATTTCCTTTGATTACCACAAAATATGGTGACCATTTCATTCCCAGAGTAAAAACATAAGACCCATAGAATTAGAAATAAAATCAACCATCAAGTTATCCTCTCAACGGAAACAGTTTCTCTCCTCTTATTTGGTCATTTGAGCTCATCATCATCATCATTATTATTATCATTTACCTCTATCTCCCTTTTCTTATTCATTCTTACCCTCTCTTCAACGAATTCAACATCACCTTCAACTGAATTTGAGAATACAAGTCAATTGGTAATATCATTTATTTGAATGAAACATTTCCCTTATCCATACTATTATGCTTTCTCAACTTATGGGCCAATTTCACCACCAATTTCATTCAAAAGTAACATTCAAACAAACTAATATCATTTGTTGATTGATAGACACAAAATCCTAATCATCAAATATTATATATTGCATCATCACCATGGAAAATGTTTAGATATTATTATTTGTTGAGGGTTATTTTATCATCCAAAACGTAGCACTCTTTATATGAAATAATTTTCTAGAAATTGACCGAAATTTTTGGTTAGAAGAAGAAAAAAATGAATAGTCCTAAAGATATTAGAAGATGAGGGAGAGAAAAAGTTTTCTTTTTCTATTTTTCCAATGGAAATTGCTTATTTGACACATATATCAATATTTTGGTACACTTTTGATAGCAAATTCCCAATTGAACTTTCTCAATCCATGATAAAAGTAAAAAGTTATACAGAGAAAAAAATTGATTTAATCTCAAGTAACTAGAGTAACGTAGTTATTGCCAAGCTTAACCTTTAATCCTTGAAAATGTAAATAATTTTTTTCTTCTCCGATCATCAATATCCTTTGCAAACTCATTTTCGAAACTGAAGAAATAGCATTTTTTACTAGTCAGAATCATTGCGAATCAGACAAACAAAATCACATTAACAAGAATATCTTATATTATCATATATGTAATATATCATAATAAGGATTGAAAATCAACATTTCCATTGAAACTTTGTGACTTTAACATTCACATAAATTGTACATGGAAAAGTTTATGATGAGTAAGAACTTTTTCTATTTCAGACTGATTAGTTCATTTTGATAAATTTTGAAACCTCAGTTATTACCCTCAAGTAATTTGGGTATAATATTTGATTATACAGGGCTATTCAGCTATTTTCGCCGATGTTTTTTGAGATTTTCTCAGCAACCAAGAGTCAAAGAGACTCGAGACTTGAGTGGTATCAGTTTGAGCGATACTCAATTGTCATATTAAAAGATCAAGGTCATTAAGGTCACTGGTAAATTAACGCGTTTCAAGGTCATTTGATGGTCATTTTATGATTTTCCAAGCTTATTCATCCTTGGTTAAGATTTTGAAATTGTAACTGTCAATGAGAAGATATTGCAGTTTAATCATAATATCTTCATAATTTTATGCTAACTAATTATGAACAATTTCACTCAATGAACTTAATGAATGACATTTGCATGTTATCCTTATTTTAGCAGTTTGTATACAGTAGTATGTGTAGCAAAGCGGTATGAGATCCATTTTTGCCTTTCTTGAAATGTCAAAAAACCAAATACCAACAATCATAAAGTAAACTAATTGAGAAATCCATTGATTTGATGAGAATTCACCTTGGGATTTGCTTAGTGTAACAGCATCTACTTATTTACAGAATGTATTTGACATAATGATGAAGAAAGGGCGTAATGATCAATATATAATAGTAACAATGGTAAAACGAATACTGAAGGCTAAAAATATAAAAACACTTTTGACCCACCACAAGTTCAACACATCACTTCTCAGGATAGAAACTCATAGATGCTCCTCCCAATTTAGTAGATATTTGTAATACACTTTGAAGGAACTGGGAGTGATGTGGAAGGTGATCAAGTCGATAAGCCAAAAAAAATGAGAAAAGAATAAAAAAACTTAAAGGTAACTGATGATGATAAAGTCGAAGATTAAGGGATCCATGATCATCTCCATGAAATCTATTATATCAGATTCCTTGGAACCTCAAAAACATTTTCAAACTTAACTTCATCTTAATAGTTTCATCATCTTTTTCTTCATGCATCTTGGAGTTTTTTTTCATTCTTTTCCCTTTCCTCTTTCCTCTTTCCTCTTTTCTCACTTTCTCTCTCTCTTACAACTTTCTTACATTTTCTATTCCATTATTTCCACTGTTCCAACGAATCGTTCTTTCTTTATATAGATTATCAGCAACATATAAGTAAAAAGAATAAAAAAATACATCTATTCTTTTCATTCTGATTTCTGCTCTCTTCATCCTCTTTTTTACATCTTTATCTTATTTCTGAGGTTCGTCTGCAATTGTTTCCATCATTTGGCATCACATCAACATTCAGTTCCAACAAGAATCATAGGAAAAGGTAACATACTATCAAGAAGGTTGATAAGATACAACTGCCAACTCTATCCCCACACAATATATTTATCTACATATAAGCTGAATATAAAATAAGATTGTTGTTATTTCCATTGAAGAAAAGAGAGACAGAAAGAAAAGAATAAAAAAAAACAAAATTATTCCATTCCAAGATTTGAGAATACGAACAGAGAAGCAAAATTTTCCTTCTTCAATTTTAGGCCAGAAAAAAAGAGGCAATCGATTAATATATTCTAATGGCAATCCTGGTTTTGAAAGTTTTCGAGAGTCGAAAAGTTTTTTTATTTTCCATACTGAACATTGTGTATGTGTGTGGGAAGAAAAGTTCTAGAGATATTCAGATTCATATTCATACAAATATCAACGTTACAATCATTAGATGAAATTTCCAAGAAAAATATTTACCAGAGATAAAAGAGAGAAGAAAAAAGATGAGAACAGAAATAAGAACTTTTTTTGCGACAAATCCAACAAATAGAAAGACTCAATTGCTACAGATTGAAGTAAATTGTTACTTGTACGTGGTGTTTTCTGTATTCACCTTGAATCTTGAAATATGCTTAACTTAATCTCGATAGAGTTACCATGTAATCATCAAGAAGTCTTATATGCTGATAATGATTATCTCGTATCATGTTCAGCATTTTTATTCACTTTTTTCTCTTCTTTTCTACAATTCAATGTGAGAAAAAAAAACTTTTCTTTACCATCATTTCACCACAGAGTAGAAAAAAAAGTTCTTGTCTTTTTATCGTTTGTGTTACAATTGGGAGATATACTGTATATGTTGACTGAGAAAATGATAAGCAAGATGGATCATCTTCATCCAGATTCTCATCAGTAATCATCATTTTCTTTTTTTTCTGCTCAACAAGACAAATGCATGATGATAATGATGATGATGGTTTCTGTTGATGAGCGTAAAGTGATTTCAAAATGATATTCTCCTTGCGATTGAAAAAAAATCGAAGCAAAAAATCATCGATGATGATAACTGATTTTCAATTCCACACGAAATCTGTTCAACTTCAATCAAATCCATTTGAATTTGAAACATGATTGAAATTTAAAGGCTTTTGCCAAACCATCATCATCATCATCTTCTTCTTTTTCTTCTTCTTTCTCTTAGTGTATAGCTTAGAATACTTAAAGAGGCAAAAAGTTACTCAGTTGATCAAGAAATTTCGATATCTATGAATACCCAAGGAATGGAAAATTGTTTAATGATAATTCCAACTCAAAATCTCTTTATATTGTAATCATCTTTTACTTTTTCTCTCTTTTTTGCGATTCTTTTTTTCTCCTCATCATCACTATGCCATTGGAAAAGGGAGCGAAAAATTCAGTCATGCGATTTTTTATTACCATTTTCACCATTTCATCTCTCTCTCTCTCTCTCTCATATTCGTCCCTGTCTCACTATTCTCTTCATCATCATCATAAATGTTCCAACTTCATCTACTATTATGTGAATGCTCATTGAAACGGATTAAATCAACAGAAAATTTTTCTTCATTTACTATTCCACATATTATTATGTAATATGTATTCACTTTCAATCCAGTGTCTCTGTCTTTTTTGTCTAATATTTGCGTTCATCATCCTCCTCTTCCTCCTTCTCCTCCCATCTCCTTCTTACAATCTAATCATCAGCTACTACACAATCAAAATCACATCATCATTATTACTCATGCTAACAATAAATCTCATTAACCTTTACCAGAAATAAAATACATAAAAAAAAGGTAACATGGACACACAGGGAAATACAAATTAGATTCATTATCGATTGAACATTTGAAATGTACTCTGTAGATTAATGAAGTATTTATAATACATCTGTAATATAAATATTTTATTAACAAGTGATTATTAAACATGAATTGAAACTTAAATGAAACAATAGATAAATCATATTCCGAAAATATCATCTCTCTCTCTCTCTCTCTCTCTCTCTCTCTCTCTGATCCCATTCAGAGTTTGTATACTTTTGATCCTATCTCGATCTCTTAGCCCTCAGAGTTTCACAAATTGTGATTACTGAAAACTGTTTCCCTCAATCGTTTCAAGTCGATTATTTTTATCCATGATGTTCATATATCCATACACATACACACATACACACAAAAGTTTCACCAATTCTCAGAGAAATGATGAAGATGATGCTTATATTTCACCCTAAAGTTGATCCTCAATTTTTTCAACTTACTTTTGCTTCAAATAATCGAGATAATTTTTCATGTTTTCGCAAAGAGAAATAATTTTTTTTTTCATCTTTCTTTTTCCTTTATCATTTTCCTCTTATTTCCTGTTTATCTTTTCGGTCCAATTTCAGGTCGAGCATATTTCAATTTACACAATCGACCAGCATTTTTACAAATTGATCCTATTAAATTGATGGATGCTGGTGTCTATAGATGTCGAGTCGATTTTAAAAAGGCGCGAACATTAAACACTGTAATTAGTCTTAAAGTAATTGGTAAGTAAATAAATAATCAATATATAAAAACAATTTTTCTCCAACTCAATTCTCAATTTATATTCTTTCATAAATCAGTTCCACCAGAAGAACCAATAATAACTGATGTCCAAGGGAATGAATTAAGAGGACTTATTGGTCCATACAATGAAGGTGATGAGCTTCGACTTGTCTGTGTAACTGTTGGTGGTAAGTTCAATTCATTATATTAATAATATCAAACTTTTCTTTTGGATAACTTGACCATAATATCATGTTGATCATTTTTTTTGACATCATTTTGTATCTTTTTGCATAATATTAACTCATTAACCTCAACAAAAAACAAGTAGACTACTACAAAGTAGTGGTTTTAAATTAAAAGATACTAATTAGTTTTACCTTTGAAATATGTTAAATTGCCACGAACTAAAATGAACATTAAATTAATTAAAAGTAAACAATCAAAAATGATCACTCAAGTGTGTCCGAGTAAATTTTCATTACATTAGCAGAATCTTTTTTTTTACTTACCTGTAAAGTTTTCTGATTTAATGAACTTTAATCAATGGATTGATTTTTGTATTCAAATTCATTCATTTAAAAGTTTAAAGTGATAATCAAATTTTTGAGGGAAAAAATTTCGTTCTCACTTTTAATTGAAATGTTTTTCAATCTCTCCTGTTTAGTATTATAACGGTAAATGGATGATTATTATTATTTGTTGGTTTATTAGAGTTAATTTTCAAGTTAAATCTACTTGATTAACAGCAATTTAATCATTGGAATCATTTCGTTAAGCGTTTTCAACTTTTTCATTTTTACCCATAAGCTTAACATGGGAACTCATTATTTTCAAGTCTTTTTTTCTTCCCCTTTATTATTTAGATAATTAATTGTACATCAACTTGTAGCTCTTGATTAGTACATTCAGACAATATATAAACATAATTGATTGGTTAATTGATTCAAAAGTAATTAACCAAAAACTCTGATTTTTGGTCAATAATTGAGGTTTAGTTGAACACTTGGGACACAGACACGATAATCATGAAAACACAGAATTAGATTATCATTAGGGTATCATTAGAAAGATAATTAATCAGTGAATCGACTGATATAATTATCTTCAATATAACATAAATAACGACCAAGTTATGACCATTTACATTTGGTCAATTCTCACAATCACAATTAACCATTTTCGCTTAATTACGCTTCTCTCTTTCTCTCTATGATTTAATTATCTTTATATTATTATTATTATTATAATTATTCATCTTAAGACGATTGTTATCATTACCAATATCCATTAGGAGCTTCAACTATTTTCTTTGTTGCTCCAACCGCCAACTTACTTTCTCTCTCTCTTTGTCTATTTTCCCTCTCTTACTCTCTCTCATGTTCTCTGTCTTTTTCTTTCTCTCTAAACAACAACAATAACCAACCGACAACATAATCCAAATATTCAAACGAACCAATAACTTTAAAATGTTTTCTCAACTGTTTTTCTCTCCGTATAAAAACCCAAACCAAATTAAATAAAATTGTCTTTAGTTGATGAACGTAATTGTGTTAACATCTCTTTTCATTTCTCTTCTTGTTTTAATCAATTACTTGATTGTGTTTAAATTATCACTAAAATTGAAGTAATTATCCAACTAAAACCAACAGGTTATGGGCTCAGTCATCTTCCTGTTCAACTGCTAATCTGAAAAGAAAGAAAAATATTAATAGTAAATTTGTTTACCTTCTTTACTTACCTTTTATTTGTTAACTTACCTTTGTGATTAGTTAATTGTCTCAACAATTTACTTGTGTATCTTTTTATTATTGAAAATTTCAATTTCAATATATCATCATCATGATTGAATCATCAGAAATGATTACAATGAAACTTACTACAGATAATTATCTCCATTGGAAAGCTTACATACAAGCGGTGCTACAATCTAAAAATGTTTGGGAGATTGTGAAAGGTGAAACTTTGTGTCCGGCTGCTTTTACTGGAGAGGAAGCTCAAGCTGAAAGAGCAACAGAAGTTACAAAGAGAAATAAATCAATCGCTGATTGGAAAACAAGTGATGCTCTTGCTAGAATGTTGATCATCAATTCAATTGACAAAGATCATATTAACCTCATCATCAACTGTTTAACTTCAAACGAAATGTACAACAGTATTGTTAATCACCGAGAACAAAGGACAACCACCAATGAATGGAGGATAAGACGTAAGTTGACCGATTTGAGATTCACATCTTCACATACAGTAACAAGTTATTTCGCTGAACTCGAGGCAATTGTTAAACAAATGAAAGATCTTGGAATTAACATTGATGATAATTCCTTAATGGTAAAAGTTCTTGATGATCTTCCTTCTTATTTTCAGTCATTTCGTCAGGCAATTGAGATTGCAATTACTGCGGGTACTGTTGTTACATTGAAAAATTTAAAAAGTCAGTTGCTTGTGAATGAAAAGAGAAATGAAAATGAAACAAATCAGAAACATGGTGAAGCTTTGGTTTCCAGAAATTTCAGCAGAAATAAATTTCAACCTAAAGGTAGACATTGTTGGATTTGTAAGAAAACAAATCATTTAGCTCATAATTGTCGCTACAGAAATCAGAATAATAATAATAATGATCAAAATCAAAACAATAATAATAATCAAAAGCAGCAATTGTCTGGTAATTCTGGTAATTCTGGTAACTCTGGTAATTCAGGTAATTCTGGTAATTACAACCAAAAACAAAATAACAGCAACAACAATAAGAAAAATTTCAAGATGAACAAAAATAATAATTATAATAAAAAATTCAACAATTTCAACAATAACAATCAAAAAGTAAATCATCATTTTGCAAATAATGTTCAAGATGAATCAAATGATGATGAAGATCAGATAAATGATAATTTTTCTCTGTTAATTAATGAACATGAAGATAATAATAATCAATGGTTACTCGATACTGGAGCTTCTTACCATTTAACCAGTAATTTCAATTGTTTAACTAATTTAGTTGAATTAAGTGAACCGATTGCACTTACCATTGGTGATGGCAAACAAATTGAAGGTTTAGCCAAAGGTGATGTTCATGTTGATTGTTATGATGGGAATCAATGGATTCCATGTAAACTTACCAATGTCTTGTTTGTGCCTAAACTTGGTAATTTTAATCTGTTTTCTTGGGGACAAACAGTAAGTAAAGGGTTTGGATTGAGATCAACACCCGATTTAACTTGTATCTATGAATTAGAATCTGGTAAAATTGTTACAGTCGCAGAGAAATTTGGTAACACTTTCAAGTTAATGATAAGATTGAGAAAAATGAAAGATAATCTTGCTAATGTTGCAAAGGTTGATACATTGAGTGATTGGCACAAAAGATTAGCTCATGTTAATGTATACAAGATAATTCAAATGTCAAATGATGGGATCTTACCGAAAATTAGAATTGATTATGAACCAAGTCAATTTGTTTGTGAAGGTTGTGTAAAAGGTAAAATGACCCGAAAAAGTTTCAAAACAGTTAAGCCACGAATCGTTGAGGTTGGTGAGGCCTTACATTGTGATCTTCAAGGTCCAATAAGTGAACCTTCATTGAATGGGAGCAAATTCGCCTTAGTAATAAAAGATGAACGAAGTGATTATCGATGTGTATTTTTCCAAAAGTTTAAATCTGAATCTTGCGAGAATTTAGAAAAGTTCATCATGTACACTGAAAAAATGACTGAAAATAGGGTGAAAATTGTCAGAACTGATAATGGTAAAGAGTTCGTAGACGTTAGAGTTAGAACTTTGTTTGCAAATAATATTTGTCACGAATTGAGCGCTCCTTATACAGCTGAACAAAATGGTAGAATCGAAAGAGAAAATCGAACAATTAGTGAATTGACAAGATCAATGTTACTTACCAACAATTTGCCAAGATTCCTCTGGGCAGAAGCGATGGCTACTGCTGTTTATGTGTTGAACCGAATTCCAAGTAAAGGTCAACGAAACGTTACTCCTCTTGAACTTTTCACCAAAGAAAAACCTAAATTTAATCATCTTCATCCATTTGGTTGTGTTTGTTGGACCAAAGTTCCAGATAATCTAAGAAAGAAATGGGATCCTAAGGGAAAGAAGTGTATCTTCGTTGGTTACACGAAAACAAGTAAAAATTATCGTGTTTTTGATCCAACAACCAATAAGGTATTCGTTACCGCGAATATAAAATTCATTGAGAATAATTGTAATGCTGAGAAAGTTATTGATGAAATAATTAATGAAGATGAAACTAATCTTGAAGAGATTTGTAAAAATGATGATAAAAATGAAGATGATGTTGATTTTGATGATAATCAAAGTGACACGACTGAGATAATTGAAGATCCACCTGAAACAGTTGATTGGTCAAAAGATTTAAATAATATTGTGTTACAAGCCGTTGTTACCAATCATGAGCCAATTAATTACGATGAAGCTCTTGCATCACCAGAAAAAGATAATTGGATGAAAGCAATGAAAGAGGAAATGATGTCAATTAAGAAAAATAATGTTTACACCTTAGTTGATTTACCTGAAAATAAAAAGTGTATTCAGTGTCGTTGGGTTTACCGAATTAAACGAAATTTGGATGGTACAATTGATCGATATAAAGCAAGACTAGTTGCTAAGGGATTTTCCCAGAAACCTGGTATCGACTATTTCGAAACTTTTAGTCCCGTTGCCCGATATGATACTATTCGCGCCATTCTCTCGATTGCTACTTACCTGAAAATGGACTTGATCCAATTCGACATCAAGACGGCCTTCCTCTATGGTGATCTACATGAAGAAATTTATATGGTTCAACCTCCTGGTTTCGACGATGGTACTGATCGTGTTCTGAAATTAAGAAAAGGTCTTTATGGACTTAAACAAGCGCCAAGACAGTGGAATGAAAAAGTAAACAATTTCTTTAAAAATAATAATTATCATCAATGTGAAGCTGATAAATGTTGTTTTGTTAACAATGATGATGGCTTAACTATTTGCATCATCTATGTTGACGATGGTCTAATTGCTTCAACGAATCAACAACAATTAACAAAATTAATCAACAATTTAAAACAATCATTTGAGGTAAAAGTTCACAAACCTCAAGTTTTCGTTGGTATGGAGATCCATCAAAGTGAAAATAAATCAACAATTAAAATTAAACAATCTAATTACATCAAAGAACTGC